GGGCAATTTTTATTTAGTAGAGGTAAAGTAGATAATCTGGGATTAACAATACAGATTTTTAGGTTTGTTGCAATCAGTTTTTTATATAGCATGATGACACTTGCAGCTTCACATTCCTGAGATTACAAGGAATCCATGGATACTCACTAAGTCCTGATCCATGACTAGGAAGGAGCTGAAATATCCACACAGAGCAAACCTGTTTTTACTGCGAGGTCTGCGGTAATAATTCTAATAATACTAATGAATTTATAGTTGATCTTGATGATAAAACTAAAGGCATTAATCACTGAACATGTAACGTGAAGGCAGCTTTCAGTCTGAGAGCTAATATCAGCTCAAACTGTGTTCTGTAGTGCTGCCGCTCACCTCTCTCCTTGTAAAACCCGCTCACTACTTGCTTCTGTTCAGTTAACTTTTCCTCCTTTTATGGAAGCCAGATTTCCCTTTCTTGGGAAAGCCATCACTTCCTCCTGCCTCCAGCTCTGGCTGTCAGCCATATCAATGTCTCCTTAGCTGTACATGCAGCGTGCAGCCCTGGCCGCAGGTGTGGACTAAACTACTTTGCACGTTTTTAAGGGGTGATAGATGCAACAGAGAAAATTCAATTATTTTTAAGGCAAAATTCTGTTTCTTAACTTCTTCATCCAGGTAAAGGGAAGTTTAGTAAGACATGAAGTAGGTGTGTGTGTGTGTGTGGGGGGGGGGCATTTCCATCCAATCCATGTGATCAGTATCGGTGATGGGCAGCAAAAATCATGATCGGAGCATCCCTACTTTCATTTTAACTGAGGCTTGGTGGTGAATCAAGTCAGAGGGTTAATGTTTGGTTGTGACTCTGTGGTAACCGGTTAGATGATGAGGAACACTATATACATCCTGTCCTTGGAGAGTCGTCCTGACTTCTCGTCGTCCTGAGCTCCCAACAGACAAAGTCAGCTGATCAGAGCTCAGCAGAAAATCTCCATCATAAATACAGAAGCTGTAAAACCCAACACACACACTGAAGGGGAATGATGCATGCAGCTCCTGGTGTTCCATTGTCACACCAAAAATCAGATCGGATGTTGTTAATATCCGTTCACGTAACTTACATAGCTTAGCATTTTAAAGAGGGAGAGAGAGTAATCCTGCTGTGGAGCTCAGGGTGGGCAGTCTTGAGCTGGGTCCTACCTCCCCTGGCCCACTGCCCATTCTCATCTGTAGGTCAGGACAGGCGGTTCTGAGCTGGTTTCCACCCAGAGACAAACTTCCCTGACCACTGGGAATTCTTAAAACCCTGCCATCGTAGGCGTCATTTTAACCGGGGACGCCGGGGACATGTCCCCGGCAAAATTTGTGATTGGCAGCTGTGTCCCCCCCACTTTCAAAAACGCCTGCTGATGAGGATTTTTGTTTTACCAGCTCAGATCTTATACCAGGGGTCGGCAACCTGTTCCCATCAAAGAGCCATTATTACCCGTTTCCCACAGTAAAGAAAACACCGCAGTAGCCGCAGCGTTGTGGGCGGGGCCTACCCCCAGACAGCAGAGCGCTGCTCACAACAGGTGACAGCAGCCGGGGGCATCGCACCCGTGGGGGATTCAACACCCTCACTTTTCCAGCTGTTTTGCTCACCTCCACACCAGTCTGGTTTCTTTATGTCGCACTCACTCTGTTTGCCTCATCTCCTTCTTCACCTCCGCTTCTGACAGCCGATGTCGGGTTTCCAGGAGAGCAGGAGGGACGGAAGAGCTCGACTGAATTCATAATTTTACATCTTGACATTAGCTGTACAAAGTCTGAGTTTGATCAAGTGAAGAACAACCATTTGCAGAGGTTTATAACTGGCGCAGCACCAGGTTCTCATTTTTGGGTGGGCCACGGTAATTCTGGACGGACCTTAATAAGCAGTGACTTAAGTGAAGCAGGCAGGTCGCGCTAGAAAATTTCGTTTAAAAAGACGTCATAAATGTGTTCCCCCGTCATTTTTATTTCTAAAATATGAAGTAAAAACTCCCAATTTAATTTTCATTCATTTGTCATTAATATGTAGTCTACACCCGTGCGTTAAGTGGACCATCTTCCAGTAAACGCAAAGCATCCAGCCCACCTCTCCAAATGCATAAAATGTGCATCAGCCGTTAGGCGCGCCGCGCGCACCATCAGCTGATCAGCCCAGACAAGAGCAGAGCAACTAGAGAAAGAATAGAGGATAATTGTGTCTGGATGTGGATGGAGATTACAATTTACAGCAGCCTGATCATCATTTAAATACGTAAACCATCACCTGTCTTCTATCCACGCTATCAGCATTATTTTAATTGGTTTGTGTGTGTGTGTGTGTGTGTGTGTGTGTGTGTGTGTGCGCGTGCGTGCGTGCGTGCGTGCGTGCGTGTGTGTGTGTGTTTTCCACTTCAAACACTGGTCTAACCAACCGGATAGCGTGTCCAGTAACACATTAATGTTACAATTAAACTTGATTAACCCCAGAGCCACGCGCACTGCGCTGTGCTGACTGTAAATGAGGGGGAAACGATTGAATCGGATCCTTTTCTTTTCAACATGGTTTCATGTAAAGTTTCATTCAGTACAACCTTTAGTTACACCGATCTAACGAGACAGAGCCTGGATTTGTATTCTGAACAGTTTAAACATGTTTAAAACGGAGACGTGCGTGACGCGTCTAAAATTCGCACCTGCTCCGCTATTATGGAAATTAAACTAACAAGATGAATAACATGAACTTATTTTAGGCACAGACAACATCCCCCACACTTTTGAAAAGCTTGCAACGCGCCTGATCGCTCGTGTACGTCTTAATTATCTTTCATTAGACGATAATCAATAAAATGATTTATATAAAATGGATCCAGAAGTTGTAGCCCCCGTCTCTGCCTGCAATTTTTGATATTTTTCACCCTGTTGATGGTTTTACTGAGCAGGTGCCACTTTTGTCATACGTTTCTTTTAAAAACATGTTTAGACTGTTCAGAATACAAATCCATGCTCTGTCACGTTTGATTGTTGTAATTAAACTTTGTAGGTGGGGGAGGTCAGAAAGCAGCTCAGAAGCGCCGATATGATTACGCACAAGCGAGACGCATCAACCCGGTCTCACGGTAAGACCGGGTTGGACCTGTTCAGGTTTACGCAGACAATCTTTACATGTAGAATTGGCTTACAGATGTAAAATTAATGCAGTAAAATATAAAGCATTTTATTTAAATATCCATTCATTATTTTACAAGCAAGAGCCGCATGCGGCTCCAGAGCCGCGGATTGCCGACCCCTGTGCTAGCCTACTTTATTGTCCCCAGCAATTTTTAAACACCACTCAAGTGTATGGTTATTGTCCTCAGCAATTCTGGAAACAAACTGACGCCCTTGCCTGCCATCCTTGTCTGCAGGTCAGGGCAGGCTGTCCTGAGCTGGTTCTGACCCAGAAATCAGCTCCCCTGGTCCACTGGGAATTATTAAAACCCTGCCATCCTTTTCTGAAGCTCAGGGAAGGCTGCTGTGTGTCAGGTTGAGATGTTGGAGGACCCAAAATGCAGAAACCCAGGATGACACGAGGCAGAAGTTGAATAAATAAAATAAATCCTTTATTTTTGGGATGATCAACAACAAAAATTAATCCAAAGAAGGCTGGGAGCCAAAGTCCAAAAATCCAGATGAAGATCTGGGTATCCAAATATTCAAAGGCACGAGAAGACTAAATCCAAACACGAGGGGCACTAGAAGACATGACAGAATTACAAACAATGGACCGACAAGACACTGAGACAAGACAGGGCTTAAATACACAGGGAGGATGAGAGGGAGATGAGCTGCAGGTGTGTGGGGTGTGGGAGGAGGACCAGGTGAAGGCAATGACTAATCAGGGGAGAAGCTAACTTGGCCTAAGAATAAAACCTAATACAAAAGAGCAGGAAACATAACTACAATTCAAATGGAGGGGGGAGAAAAATAATAAACACTGATGGGAAAAAACATACTCATGAAAGGCTGTAACTAAAGGAAATGACTTGAGAAACCTAGAGGGCTGGAGATCTAGGGGCAAATGGGGAAAACCAGAAGACACATGAGGAAGACGCAGACATGACACAAAAGGAGCTCCTAGAGAGGATGGAGAAACACCAGGAGGCACATGAAGGAAGGGGCAGACGCAGACCATGACACTGAGCTGATCATGACCCAGAAACAAGCTCCCATGGCCCGCTAAGCTGCTATACTCTTCTGGAGGTCAGGGCCGGTGGTTCTGACCTGGATCCAACCCTGATATGGGTTCTAGGAGCCTGCAGGGAATTTTTTAAAGCCCACCACGGGGCTTTGGAGGCCAGTGCCGACCTCCTTGAGCTAGATCCGATCCTGATCTGGGCTCCAGGAGCCCGCAGGTTATTTTTTAAAAGTGTCCCATTCTGTTCTGGAGGATGGGAGGCTTGTTGAACTCACTCACATCACTGGGATTGAAATCCTCCAGTCTGAACTGGCACCACAAACGACTTTGATTTTGTATCTAAAGCAGAAGTTAAGCCCCGTCTTTTCAGCTGTATGTGAGAACCGAAGATAGTGTTAATTTTTTTCTTAGATGTAAACCTGTAGACTCGATATCCGCTGGAGTTTGTATAGCCTCCACAAACACAATAGTTTACCATTTTGAAGAAAAATGAATGCAATTCAAAACTAGTGAACACACACTGGTTCGATAGCACGACCTATCTGCTCGAAAACTACCTACTCGCCACACTGAGCTTCAGGCAGGGCTAGTTTATAGCTCACTCCTTTACATCAGAGGCTTACGATTTTGGGGAAAAAAGAAGCTTTTTAAAAAGCCACTTTTTACTCGAAAAATTGTGCCGTCATGTATTGTCAAACCCAAGCGCCAAATCACGACAAGAGTCGTCTCAAGGCACTTAGGTCCTACGTCATTGAGTCATTGTCCGGTTTGTCTCCAAATGACCAACCACAGGGAGACTTTCAACAACTCTTACTCTGTTGTCTGGTCTTCTTTATTTTAGTCTATTACTACAACTTTGGATGGAAAGACTACGGCGTAGCCTCTCTAACCACAATCCTCGATATGGTGAAAGTCATGTCGTTTGCTGTTCAAGAGGGGAAGATGGCTGTCCACTGCCACGCTGGTCTTGGGAGAACAGGTTAGTAACACCACTGCCTGTGATTTGGTCCGTAGAAGGTTTTGTTTTTACAAATGCCAGTCCTGTTCATTCAGGTGTTCTGTTGGCTTGTTACCTGGTCTTCACCACCCGGATGAATGCAGACCAGGCTATCCTGTTTGTACGGAGTAAAAGACCCAACTCCATCCAAACCAGAGGGCAGCTGTTGTGTGTTCGGGAGTTTGCTCAGTTCCTGGTTCCTCTGCGAAGTGTGTTTTCATCTGCAGAACCCAAAACAAGTGCCGTCACCTTGTCTCAGTACCTCACCCGGCAACACCACCTGCTGCATGGCTACGAGGCCCGCCAGATGAAGAATGTGCCAAAAATTGTTCAACTAGTGTGCAGGCTCCTCGTCAGCATCGCTGCCAACAGACAAGTGGTGATGGAGAAGCAGTGGCTGGAGAACCCCGACTTCACAGCAGAGGTGGAGAAGACCGTGTCCCAGCAGGCCCTTCAACAGCTTGGGAAGGAGATGATAGGAAAAGGGATCCCTGACCTATCGTTGTATTTTCCCAGCCCACCAGCACTACAGTCTCCACATACTTGTGATGGTCCTCTTGCCAGCGACAATGAGCTCGAGCCTGTGTGGAGGCAGCAGCATTCAGAAAGCTCTCAAAGAACTTCTCTGTTCAACAAAAGGAGCTTCAGTGACTCTTGGCTTTACAAATCTAGTCCATGGCCGCACAATGGAGTACTGCTAAAGAACAGCAAACTAATTCATTGCCTATTCAGTCATTCTTTGTCTGACAGCAGTCTTACAGCCTCTGACACTCCCTGCTGTTATCTCCATCCACGGGACACCCGGAATCTGAAAGCAGGTCAACAGCAAGACAACATATCCTTCATCTCACAAAAGCAGCATGATGTTCTGAATCTAGATCAGTCTGAGTGTGGAAGGAAAGCCCTTTTTAATGCCACCCTGCCTTCTGTGCTGCTCCAGAACAAACTGGTTTCCACCAATAAGGGGTGTGTGGATGGAGGAACTGACAGTGGATCTGCCACAGATGTTCCTTACATCAGCCTCCAGTCTGAGCCCACTCCAGAGAACCGACGGCTCCTGGTGGCCCGAGCTCTCGCCATGGACCTGAATGACAGCCAGCTTTCTTCTAAGGTCTCAGTGTGGCAGGTATTTACCTCAGAACTTATTCAGTTTAACTTTTAATACTATCGAGCCTTGAGATGCAAAATGTTTGTACACATTAGCTGTTTAAAGAGCAAGTCACACCCAAATCAATTTTTTAAGGCTGATCAGTTGTATAAATGAGTGTCCAATAGTGCTGTGGTCAATATTATGTTATTTTAGTGCATCTTTTTTTAAGGACCGGTACCGTGGTATTAGTACACTTTCGAGTGCAACGAAAGGCACGATATATGATAAAATATTACCGTTGGCACTATTGAGATCTCATTTTTTATGAAATATGTTATTTTTGTGATGCATTTCTTCAATCTGTAGATAAGAAGCTTGAATTCAATCAAACCCCGCCTCCTCCCTTGTGAATTCCACAATAGTATACGGCCCAGAGCCTGCAGATTAACACCAAAATGTCCACTCAGCCATTGCCGAGTGGGATTACTTTCAGTCACCTGCGGATGGCAGTGTTTGCAAAAATCATGTCGAACAGTCGGACATTACTGGCATGTCTTAATATTGTCAGATGAAAAACTTAAAATCGTCTGACATATTTACTGACTTGTGTCTTCTGGAAGTATCCATTTACTGTTGAAAATGAATTAAAGGATGCCCAGTTGTTGAAAAATATTGGCAGCTATTAAAATCAGGTCTAAAATACATGGGAGGGAGTCTAAGTCATGGCGTCTAACATGGCCGTGCCATACGGGTACCGTAGCTGTACACACACTGGTGTTAGATGGTTTATTATTAACTTAATACCTAATTAAACCTCACTACATTCAGCCAGACGATTTTATAAACCCAGACATCACATTCTAAGACACTTAACTAGGCTTTTAGTAACCTCTTAGATAATGTTTCAATACATTTCTGTTATTGTCTTATTAGAAATAATCATTTAGAATAATTTTTCCTGTATCATTAGTCGTAGAAATATAGTAATAAATTGACTTTTATAAACTATATTTTGTGTTGGTTCCCTGTAGTGTTGTCAAAAAAATCGATACCCAGATATAAATCGATACTAAAAGTGGTATCTAAATGAGATATTCCATCCCTGTGGTATCGATATTATGGACTATTATACACAGCCTTCTTCAAGTACACCGACACGCACGACAGCCAGATGCCGTAAAGCAGCCTCCGCCTCCCAGACAAACAGAAGAAGACGCCACATGGCTACATAGCAATTTCCCACGCGAGTTGTCTCCGATCCAAGTTTTGTCTGCCAAATAAATAAACAAAAACATAAACAGCGAATTTGGGAGGCGCTTCACAGCCCAACTTAATTAGCATACCAAGTCCGACACGTAGTTGTATATTCACGCTTATGTGCTTAAAGGAAACTCCCGTTTATTGCAACCCGGACTTAATTTCTAGCATGCAGTACGTTTGTTTACTCACGCTGACAACTCTGGTGCTACTTGGATTCCCCGGGGTATTTAGATCCATCGGCGAATCGCCGTCAGCGTATATCCATATAACGGGTGCGGACGGGCGCCCATGGTGCAGCCTCGAAATCAGACATTATCTGCACCAAAACATCTTCATGTCGAAAGGTTTTGTTAGGAATCATTAACGTGATTCCCCTGTTCGTTTGGAGCGGGTCTGGTCTGGGATTTCTAGGCGTAAACAGACTAGCTGCGGCTAATCTAACCGGCGCTTTTAATGACGTCACTGCCGTGCGCCAGTCTGTTTTTATTAAGATTACCGGTAGATGTACCTTTGTCCTACTGTGGAGAAATGAGTTTTATCTCTTTATTGACCAACAGAGTTGTTCAAAAGTACAGAACAAAACATATGGCATTACATCTTATGACAAAAATGCACCTTAAACAGAGTTTAAGCAGCAAAACATCACTCTGCTAATAGTGTATATATAGTGAGACAATTCATGATTTAAAGTGTTAACTTTCACCAGTTTTTGTATGCACGTTTTAAAAAATGCTGATACTTGAAAGGTTTAAGCACTTAATACACTTAATTCTTAACATTTAATTTTTGCAATATAAACCGAGGAATGTTATTTTTTGAATAAACTTGTTCGCTAAATGGGAGTTTTTAAATAGTATCGAAATCGAGTATCGAGTTTTTTTTTCAAGTATCGAATCGAGTTTGAAATTTTAGTATCGTGACAACCCTAGTTCCCTGGCATACCCAAATGACCTATTTACCAAGTCAGTTGGATATTAATAAAGGTTCACTGATGTTGATAATCCTTATTTTTATGGAATATTACAGTTTATTGAATACCTATTTTTTTATTGACAATTTATTAAAGTAAGCACTTACAAAACATTACAATGCCATATTTCATTGTATGGGAGCCTGTGAAGACAAAATTAATTTACTATGGGTAGAACAATGTCGTCATTCATAAAATTGTTTTACATATTTACCTTTTCACTCGTTGCCAGTGACGAAAGGGAATCTGACGTGCTTGTCATTTTGCTGGAGGTTGTGATCCCAGGGATTTTTGTTTTACCCTAATGTTCATCCTTGAGTAAGGTTTTACTGGGACACAAAAATAAATCTTACTTGCAATGGTATGTACTGATTCTCTATATTATTATCATTTCATTGTGTTTATTTCCCAATTCTAATTTTGCTTATCATTTGTCTTTTCTTGCACCAAGTACCACTGCAATTTCCTAATGTGATTCTTGCAAATATGGCAATAAAACCCTTCAGATTCTGATTCTGATGGGGGCAGTAGCCTCAGCCGGGGGGGCCAGATTTCCCTCTCCCCAGCCACTTGGACCAGTTTCATCGGGGGAATCCCAAGGCGTTCCCTGGCCAGCCAAGAGACATTGTGTGTCCAGCGTGTCCTGGGTCTTCTTTTAGGTCTTCTCCCAGCTGGACATGTCCAGAAAACTTCACTAGGAGGCATCCTACAGGGTCCCCGCGGGGTCTTAAAAAGTCTAAAATTCATAAATTTAATTTAAGGCCTTAAAAAGTCTTAAAAATGCCCACATTTTTTGTCCAAACATCTTAAATTTTATTAGGTCAAGTCTTAATTTTTAAGTTGTTTAGTCCCGGGATGCTTTCACCATATAGTAAAACTCGGTTATCTAGTGTCTGCCTTTTTCTGAGGGACTGTGTTGGTACATTGTGAATACAAGTCTTGCAATAACTGTAGACTATAAATGCTCAGTTCACGCGGAGCGCGAAGAGTTTGTAGCTTGTTTGCTGCTAGCTAAAATCTGATGAGTTAAGTCGACTGTATCACGGAAGTGTGCGTTCAACGAGAGCTGGCTGTCCCTGGCAATCGATATGAAGCTCGCTGTAAACTTTGCAAGAGGACCATCTAGTTAGGGACCTTGGGTGTAAAGGCACTCTTGCTCGTATTTTACCTGACGAACGTTAAAGTGACCACGCTCATTCTGGTGTGTGTGTGAATGGGTTTATGAACGACGTTGTCTCCCCGTTCGAGCTCCAGATCTCCACGGAGCTAAAGTCCTAGTTGGAACATCCTGTTAACCATAGACTTTATAAAATGTAGACCCCGAAAGCACGGCCGCCCTATGGCTACAGCCTATGCAGTACCGGTCGGTGTGGCGTCTACTTTTCTATGCCCGTGCTGTGTGGAGGACGAACGTCCTCCACACAGCACGGATGAGCAGAAAAATATACAACTGCACACAACATTGATTTTATATGCACCCTTACAAGTTTATCTCAAATCAATCAATTTATAAAATAAAGCTTTGATTGATTGGTGTTCAAATTCATTATTCCTACTCAAAAGTTGGAATTTCCAGACTCATTTCAAAACACGAGTGGCATCGGTAATCTATTAATTTATTTGTATTGTTTTTTTACTCATTCATTTGGGGCTAATCAGGGTTTTTCCTGGCTCAAATTGAGGCAGAGGTGGTACCATCCCGACAGTGAGCCAGCGGTCTGTGCATTCAACTGCCTCACTTTTTTTAAAGGCTAAATATTCTAAAAGGCTCAATAATATGCATTAGATTAGTGTTTAGTTCCCTTTTCCCATCTGATATTTATAGTTACAAATATTTTTAAATATTTGACCTACATTTCAGTAACATTTTAGGTTTGTATTAATAACACTCATCTTAGTCACAATAAAACATAAATATATCCAGTAAAATATAATGCATTTCATTAACATGCATTTGCATTGGAAATGGTAATAACATTTAATTTCTGCTGCTAACAATGTAATGGTGGCATGTCGATTATGTACGGGTTAGGGTTGGGTGGGTTCAGTTTTGCCTTGGCCCCCAAAATGTCTTGAAACGGCCCTGGGTGTGTGACTGAGCTTTGAAGGTGATCTGAATTGTATCAGATGTATAAATATCACATGTGTGTAGCTTGTTGTTTTATGCAGGTAAAAACGTGTAGTGGAGATAAATCTACCTACATTTTACTTTTCAACACTTTGTTTTGTTTTTATTTAACTATTTTCCTGTCCTGTCTGTCTCTCATCTTCCTGCATCTCCTCTAAACTCTCCAGAAAAACTGCTGCCTGGATTCTTACTTTTTCACCAATTTTGAACTACGCTGATCAAAGGGATCAGCATTTCGATGCTGTGCCAGTGAGATGAAATCAACGCAGCACACGAATAGCTGAGCACGTCAGGAATGATTAAAAGTCAGAGTACCAGAGGATATAATCAGATATGAACAATCTTGTGTTAATTAGGTTTTGTTGCGCCACCTTGAGAATGTATCGTGCGCCGGACGCAGCGGGCGCACCAACTATCAGCACTCTGCGTCCTCTCCCCTCAACAGAACCCCGCTACGCTGAGAGTCCATAAATATTGTAATATAGGTAGAAACTGGATCTTTTCCTGGAAGATATCTAGCCCCCATAACTCGATCCCTGCGCCTGGATGAAAAACCGGACATTTTGATCAATGTAGGAACCCCCCCACCCCCACCCCCCGGACGCCCTGGACAGAGAGTGAAAAGTGGACATGTCCAGGTGAAAGAGGACATTATGGACTGCCGTCAAGCCAACCCTCTTTCGATTTTTACGGGCGCAACTACAAGAGAAATTACGGTGTCCTCATTCGAGAGTGTCTTTCAAAATAAAAGCACACTTCTAGGATGTGTGTCTGAACCATCAACATTAATATTATGGACATCTACTTTCCATAGGCTCCAATATCACTTTTTTGAGGCCAAATGGGAGGTGGCCACCACTGCCATTTTGACCGTGTCACAGGTTCCGTCAAGCCCAGACAATTCCAAAAAAGGGAAGAGAGGAGGAGCTGAGGATGAGGCTGTAAGGCTGGGATCAACTGACGACACCCGGTCGAACTAGCTACAAGTTAACCTGAAGCTAACCCTGGCTAACCCAAAGCTAACGCGGAGGTGGGAGCCGAGCTAACGGATGTAGCCACCTAGCTACAACCATAGCTAACTCTGTGGAACACCCATCGACCGCATGGAGTTCAGGTGGAGGTTTGCGGCGCTTTTTCATGAGAAGTACCTTTCTGTGAATAAAAAATATGAAATCGGTAAGTTTATAAGTTATTTCCATAATGAAAATATATTTTGCTTTGAGCAAGTTTTCACTATCACGTACCGTATTTTCAGGACTATTAAGTCGCTCCTGAGTCGCACCAGCCATTAAATGTATAATGAAGAAGAAAAAAACATATGTCGTATTTTGGGGGGGAAATTTTATTTTTCTTACAAAATCTGAGACAAAGCGTTTCACATTGCAAGACAAGTACCGAAAACAATAACCGAATAATGCACCGCAGCAGCGCGCCACGGTCTCCAGCAGAGGAAGGCGGTGTTTGAAACCTTCCCAGCGGGACAGGGGAACTCATTCTTGGGTCGGAGTCGGCCCGCAGCAGCGTGGTGTAGCCTACATATTTTGTTATATAAGTTGCTCCGGAGTAGCAGGACCGGCCAGACTATGAAAAAAAGTGCGATTTATAGTCCGGAAAATACGGTAGTTATTAGTATTTGAGATAAATTAACAAGCTAAATACATTTCATATATTTCCAAAACGTAATCCTTGTTTGTATCTTGTACAGCCAACTAGCCTTTATTCTGGACTCAGTACAATTCACCAAAAGTAAAGAGACATTATACAGATGAAGTAAGCACAAGATAACTTACTGGAAGACACAGAGTTATCATCAGAACCAGAACAAGAGAGCCTGATAACAGTCATGTGAAAATAACAGTTAAAAAGTATGTATGTATAATAGAAATAAAAATATATTAGAATTAGTGTAACTCGCTGTGATCCAAACAATAAATCAGCCATAGCTGATTAGTAAATATGAAATGAGGTCTGGGAGTTTTTAAGTTTCATTCTTTTATTACATTTTTTTTCTTAGATCTATTAAAGGGTCACCATGGCAACCTGTGTCTCCAACATCAGCTACACAACGCAGCAAGTGTAAGTACCAAATACCTGTCTTGACCACTTCATGTATGGTTTTGTACTTTAAACAGCTAGGCCAAACCTGTTATTTTTTCCTCCATAGTCATTTGGATCATCGGTGACAGCTGAGTGAGGCGTGGTGCCCAGAGAGCTGCAGAGACCCTCTGGGACAACCTTGGCCTCCCTGACGTCCGTGTCTCCTGGTTCAGTTGGGGCGGACTGAGGTGGAAAGACCTTCTCCCCTTCTTTTTCAACTCCATGCATGGAAGAGCAGCTCCTGATCTGCAGTGTGAATCTGGTGAACATGAAGGAGAACCTGCACCGGCTTCACCTTCTACACCCTCATATCACACTGTTGAGAACTGTTCTTCCTTCACAACCCAATGTTCCACTCACTCTGCAGCTCTCTGGGCCCCTTTTATTATTTTAAGTATTTTTTAAATGTCCCGACACTTTGTGTCCTGTTATTTTATAAAATGTGACGTAAAAAAATAAATGTTTTTGCTCAATTACTGGAATTTCTTTGGTTAAGACAAAAAAGGAAGGAAGAATCATTCATGCCAAGTTGTTTCTACAACAGGCCTGTTTTAAGTCCAACAGTTTCTTAGCAGCCAATAGAAATGTGTTCTTTACTAACTTCACTTGGTTTAAAAATGTTGCTAAAATAAACAGAGTGCTGTATTTCAAAACCCAATCATACTTGTTATTGTAAATATTAGCTTTGTAGATCATTTTTACAGATAGATATTTGTGTGCTAAAAAACCATAAACTTAAATAATTTGTCATTCTTTATTGAAAAACAATAAAATACAGGTGATAGGTAATTAGATTTATCCCATATTACCTTAAAGGACGACACAGAGAGAGAGAGATTATTTGTAATGTCCATGAATCGTCATGCGAGAGCTGGGCGCAGAAACCCCTCCATGGTGCTAACCAGCCCCCCTCTGTTCCTGGGGAAAGCCTTCAGGTCACCAGCTCTGCATTCCCCGGCATCTCCACCAAATGTTAGGTAATTAAATGTTAAGTGATATTTAATCTCCATAACCCTGAAACCTAAAATCAACACACATGACAACAAGGAAGACATTTTACCCTGAGTCCCCAAAATAAATGGAGAGTTAACGCAGGGAAAAACCTCCTCCGAGGCTTTTCCCCCGTCACTCCCCTGTGCTCCCAGTTTGTCAGGGGCTTTATTCACAAAGGATGGAGGAGAAGGCAGGCCTTCTCAGGTTACAGAGGTACAGAGGTTTCCTTGGAAATCTACAATCAACATCCTTGACTGCAAACAAGCTTCTCTGCTCAACCTTTCATAAACAGCCACAGTTGGCAAACACAAGAGATTCATGAAGTGTTAATAACACAAAATGGGCATCTTTTAGGCCTCAAAAAGGTACAATTATAAAAATACCCAACAACAGGTATACAGAAAGTGTGGGAAAATTGATAATGTGAAAGTATTGCTCTTTAAATGTAATACTAATTATCTTTAAAAAGAAAAACTAAAATGTACTGTACAGCAACATGACAGAAGAAAGGTGGTCTGTCTGTCAGAATGTGCTGAACAGATTTGCTGTATCAAGAGGAGCGTTTTGTGTACGAGTTTATGTTATTGTAATATTGGTTTGGGTTATGCATCTGTGACACGATCCAGGTGGAATGGAAGGTGCCACTAATATTAAAAGGATTAAAATAGGTTCTAAAAAAACAAGGCAAGCAGTGCGACAGCCAAAGCAAATTAAAAAGGGACATGTATTACAAAACCCTGATGATGATGCCAAGGGGAAAAAAAAGCGTTCAATCGAGTGTGCGCAGGGCCCCAAGGGACAAGGCAGTCCAGTCCGGCCCTGCTGAGCTCTCGACCAAGGAATCTCCAAGGCCGGCGTCGTCGTCTGGGAACCACAGGATCGCCACACGGTGGATCTAATCCGCCTCCTCCTCGGCCCGGCCCCTGTGGCACACAACAACTCCGGCAGTAAATAGGTCCCCGGCACCAGACCAATCACAGAGAGAGAGCAACTCTAACACTGCCAGGCACTGATCAATTACTTACGCGCGGGGGCAGAGTAACTCTGCCCGCCTGCCGTGTTGCGCTCTGTGCCCTGGCGTCTCCGGCCGCGGATCTCTCTCTCCACTGTTGCTGCTGCTTCTGCTGCTGCTTCTGCTGTCCGTGCCGCCGGTGGATCTCCTTCCAGTCCTTGCTGAGCTCGCGGTGTCCGTCTGGCTCCAGCCGAGTATTTTCCTTTCCCCTCACATTTCCGCGTCTCCACGTCCGCTCCCTTAAATAAACAAAACCCTCTGCCCGCTCACCTCCCGCCCTGCCTCTGTTCATTGTTTGCCAGTCCAGTCCACACCCCGCTCCCAGGTGTGGGTAATTGGGGAGGATTAACACAGATGGGATGCAATGTTGCAGCAATCACTAAAAACACCCAAACAGTTAAAAATCAACCTAAAAGCACCTAATCAATTAGAAAACATGCAATATAAAACGTAATATAAGAACATTAAAGGAGCATGGGGCAGGAATTGTCCAAAAACAAAAAGTACATGTTCATTCTTGTGAAGCTTATGGGCGATGAAGCATTTTAAACTAAAAAGAATGATGAAACCAGTTTATCATTCCATTTTGTTAATCAGGCTGTGTGCTGCAAAATGCAAAACATTCCTGATCCGAATTTCCCGCGCTGTTTTACGGATGTGACGTTAATTGACGCTTCAAGCGCGTTCTCGACAAGGTTCAAACCCGGAAAAACATTTGGAAGCTTGCTAGGTGGCGGTAATGCGTCTTTCACTACTAGCCACGTTAAAACCTCAAACAGAAGAGGAAGAACCCTGGAAATGGATTCTACAACTAGCAAACGACCAAGCGCAACTCAAAGCCCACTAAAGAGTGGCACAAAGAAGAAGGTTTTATCAGCGGCATCTCGAGAGTCAAAAAGAAAATATGATAAAAGTCGGTCAGGGACCCGAATATGTATTGGGTACGCTCTGGAAGAATGGAGGCTGCTTCAACTGGATTTGGGCCTGAAAAAGGATGCGGACATGGCTCATTTTCTAGTGACCAAGTAAGTGTTGGTCTCCTTATTTCTGCTGTAGGTTTCAGTAACGAGTAGGTAAACATATCAGAGCTGTATCTGCACAATTTGAGAAAATAAAATAAAACTTATGGATTTAGATAATGCTGATTTAGGTAATCTAACAAATCTTTGTGCAGAACAAGAAACTTATCTAAGCTAACGGTGTTTAGCATATGGCTTCCTGATCAGTTTGAAAAAGCTAAAAGCAACTAAGGTGTAACCGGATCACTTCTACATTTTGTGGACGACACACCGCTTGTGTTTGGAGATAAATGGATGCTCCGTTTATTCTGACGAGAAAAGTAAACAGCTTGATTTGATTATATGACGTCACCGCTCAGCCGGAGAGAGCTAGCGTGCGGTAGCATGTTAGCTGTGATCACGCTTCAGTTTGTATGTACCACAGAAGAGAACGGACATTTTCCAAACCAAAGATGAGTCTTTAGAATTATGTCATATTTGATCTACAGTCCAACCTCTAAGCAGGACTGTTACTTCAGTAGATAATGTTATTCGTGGGGTTTGTGTAACAGAACCCCATCGGAATATATTTCCCTAGCGCTATTGCTGTGCTACAAAAGAGTAAATAACTAGTCAGCCATTACTACATGTTTGACTAAAAGTAAAGTTGTGCAGAAGTTTGTGTTTATTTTTCTAAATTTGTCTTGTTGAATGTAGGTCAGAATAAAATATGTTTGTGAAAATGATAATTTTTTTATAACTGACATGCATTTTCATATTACTAGTTGTGCCACAGGTAAAGAAGCTTAGCCATTATTGATCTATGTAAACAGAAGGTGTAGAGTCTCAACCAACTTGATGACATTTTTGTTTAAAAATGTGTTTTCCAGCTACCGGAAGAAGCAGGCTCCTGAAACTGCAATTCAGGGAGGTTATGTGCAGTCAACCTCGACACCCAGTAAGAGAACAGATGCTAAAATGTCGCATCGATTATCTCCAACTGAACCAGTGTCTGAGGGGTTAGTATCTTTTCTGTAAAACAAATATTCACGTTTTTGTGCTATGATATTTCATTCATTAAATTACACCTTGCATATCCACATTTGGTTCAGAACTAACATCACACCACCAAACACTTCTGACATTATCTTTACAGGGAAGATTTTCTAATGGCTGGTGTTGAGGCCTTAGCTGATGACCTAGATTTGGATCCTTTTGAAGAAAGGTAAATTTGTTCATGAGAAGTCTTGCCATATATGCAGGAAATTACTGCTGTACTATGTGCAAAAAAGATAAAAACACAATAGATAAGCAAATATAGGTCATTATATATATTTATTTATGTAGTGAAGTGTCAATTCACAGCAGATTGTTGTTATTTGCAGAAAGAATTAATGACAGATGTATTAGGCTCCACATTTATCTCTTTAGAATCAGTACCATTTCAGGTGAGTTCCAGTATTTATCTTTACGTACAACAAATATTACTGTGTTGTCTGTAGTTTCAAATCCATGGATCTAGCTACGGATGCAGTCCAAATTGATGAGGACCAAGCAAACAACTTACTCAACATTGTGTGAGTTGCAATGTCTTATCTAGGGGTGGGCAATATAAACGATATAAGGTAGAAATGATATAAAATTGGGTAATGATAGTTTTTGGCTAATTCGCAATACGGCGATATTGTGATAACACATGACGTCACTAAGATGTGCACCCTGCTGACAATGGGACAACAGAATGGCGGTGACTGCAAGCATGGAGTGGGCGGAGGAGGAGGCCTATATGCCTCAAGTGGCATATATTTGCCACATGAGGATATCTAAAAGCATGTCAATTTGACATCTATAAACAGATGAAAAAATATATCGCAATATATATCGTTACTGCACATGCTTCAGATTATATCGCAATATAGATTTGAGGCCATATTGCCCAGCCCTATTCTTATCTACACTCTTTTTTTAAACTCCAAAGTCTTAAAACAATATATTAATTCTACTGTTATTTATTGTTTTCATAACAGAATAGAACTGTTATGAAAACTTTGTCAGGCTGACGAAGTTTGCAGCCGCAAACTAAACGTTGCAGGTAAATAAAACCCTTCTATGTTTTAAAAAGAACTAAAAGATGGAATTGTTGTTTTATCCTTGCTCACAGGCTGGGATCCTAAAGGGAATTTCCATCCTACTTGTGTGGCTGAATGACATCTTCAACCAATTTTGGTACATTTGCCAGAAAGCACAACATTGTGATATGTTTAATGTAAGTATTGTGACATCTTTTGGACAACAAGACAACAATGCACATTGACATAATTACCTTTCTTTTCATAATAGTGCCAGCTCTCGTGTTTCTGTTGGTGAGCGCTTCTGTCGCATGTAAAGTTTTCAAATAAAACTTATTTTTTCTGTTAGGACATGTGGGTGGATGTGCTTCACCATGTCACAGGGAAGCACGAATGGACCCGTGGCAAATGTGACCATGGACCACTTGATGCAACGACCAGTGATAAAGAGCTCATGGTACCATGATCTCCACCACACGAGGCTCTTCAACGAATCATGTTCAACAGACGCTGGTTGAAGGAAGTCACCAATCTGACCTTTAGGTATATTAATAACATTTTCATAAGCAAAAAAGCTAAAGTGTCAATATCAAAGCTGAAAATTTACATATAGAAATGACAATTGTGGGTGAAAAGGCAATCAAAGGTGTGATTCCTAATAATCTATAAAGTTGTAGCTTTTGTTTTTTTACAGGTCAACTTCAGAACTGGAGAGTTTCCAGAATTGCATTCTCATGTAATCTATGTATGATCTAATGCTGCTGTTCTCCTCTCTCCATGAAGGCCCCAGCTACGTGAAGCATCAAAAGACAGGAATGACTTCTTTCATGCACACAGATTTATTAGAAATTAAGAAAAAATACTATGTACAAATGCAAATAACAGAACTTTTTTGTACATAAATAAAAATAAATATATTGCACAAACTGTTTGTTTATTTTTGGGTGAAAATGCTGTCTTCAGCTGAAGTTATTTTGAGGTATTGTGCTGTTTTGGAGCTACTGTAGTTGTAGATAAACGGTTTGGATTTTTGGGTTAGGGTGCCCTCAGTCAGGAAGACGGTGTCCTGGCGTCTCTTGCTGAAACTCCAGGATATCCAGCATCACCCCTGGAAGACGGGTCACCACTCTCTCGAGAATATAATCTCTCTCCTCCTGGCTCAGGTGTTGTAAAGCTGTCTAGAAATTAAAGAGCATATGTTTACATGACTGGATTCATATCTCCAGTGAGTGATGTTTTCGTTTTTGGCATCTATTATTTTATTTTATTTTTTTAGACAAATGGCTACAACCAACCTGCATCTCAGCTATACTGGCAGCTCTCAGCTGTGCAAGCCAGTCTCGGTCCTCTTCTCTGAAAGCTGTTCGCTGCCTACCCCGGCGCCCTGGTCTTCTCGAAGGAGCTCTGGACCTCGACCTGCTGCCCTCACCCCTTGAGCGTGTCCTTCCCCGACCCTCGGAGCGACCTTTTCCTCTCCCCTTTCCTTTAGCCCCTGGTCTCAGACTTTCCCACGACACATCAAAGTCTGTGGCAGGCTCGGGCACACTCCATCTGAACTGTCTTCCATCACTGCTTCCAATGTGAATTCCTGAAAATCAATGACAGTAATGATAAAAATGACTGTATTACCCTGTAGGTCTTGTTGATATTATGATTTTATTTTGATGCATTTTTGAACTAAACATTGATATTTATGTTCTTATTTACATTGTTGTGATGCCTGTCCTGTAATAGTTTCACAAATGATGTCAGTGACGTGAAATTGGATGTTCTTACATGATGAATAAACAATAACATTAGCTTGTTAGCAAGCTTAGTGCAAAATAATAACTAACTGGTCTAAAAACATCAGAAATCACCTGCAGCCACAAAGCCTTATGCTAATAAAGTAGCATCATGTTACTGTCTTGCTCGCCAGTCACAAAACTGGCTTATGAATATTTCATAGGAAGGAGCACTTGCTTTACATCACGAGTGTCATGGCTAAATTAAAATGCTAATGTTGTCATGGAATTTTACAAATATTAGACTAAAGTAACAATGTTACTTACTTCATCGCTCGACACGGTGCCTTGTTCGAGCCGCGCTCTGGCCGTACATCACTGTAACTTTTTTTTTTCTAGTGAAGAGTTTGTGCGCGCTCTCGTGCCGGGCTGCAGTTACTCACAGCGCCGAGTGCGTCGCTAATGAGTTTAGTTTCTTCATCCCGCCCCATGCTCCTTTAAACATAAGAACAACATTACCACTCTGTGACATATCGCCACATTAGCATGTAAATGCTGAACCAATCTGGAATAAAGAGGGATGCTGACCAGTAGAGGTGGTTCACCACACTTTGCTTCCACAGTCTCACATCCTGGGTCGTCTTTCTCTTCCCCAGCTCTTCGATTTTCTTACCAATTCATGGAGAGCCAAATAGACCCACATTTACAATAGAAAAAAAATAACCTTTTAATATTCACTATATACATCCCCAAAGATTACCTTTTCCCATGTGCCAGGGGTCAAGGTAGTGACTGATTTCCTTTTTTTCCTCCCGCAAATACTTCTGCACCCCTGTGTGGCGGTCAGTCACAACTTGCTGCACATCGACCCCCCTCTCCAAAAGTGTGCTCAGACTTCGCACAAATCCCTCCTTCTCCATTCGCACACTATTTCCAACTTCATTGCTCTGAAAATAAACATAATTCTCCATTGATCTGTGAATAATTAACCATGAAATGTATTATAATCATCAGGTAATGTTGTACCTGTACGAGTTGGATATCAATAACTTTGTTTCTTTTGAGATCCATCATGGTGTAGCTGCCATATTTGGCTGAGTGTCCTTCAGAAATGCAAGTTATTACTTAATTTACATTTGATAGCAAAGGAATAAAATAAATAAATTTAAACGTATTCACCAGGTCAATCAGCTCGCATGTCACCACCAAGAGTCACAGGTCCAGATTCAGTAGCCTCCTGGATGATATCAGCTTGCTGTAGCTGCCACTGCCAGCTCACTGTTGGAATTAACAGCTTTGCCTGATGTCGATAGAATGTCTGCTTGGACAGTCCCTGCACATTGAAGGCACCCAGGAACTAAAATATGAAAAGTTACGTCATGAAATGAGAGATGCACAGACCTTATCAAAACTAACCTAAACATTTTTGGACTATACCTTAGAAATCTGGCTAAATGATGAACCAGACTTTCTGGAAGATGAATTTTCGTCATGGTCCCTGTGTCCCAAGACACACAGCAGCTGGGAGCTCTAAACTGGGTGGCTATATAAAAAACAAAGAAACAGCACATTTATAAATGTTTAAAAGAGCATAAAATCACGTGTAACAATAATGTGCAAAACAAATTAAAACTAGAAGGTGATAATAAAATGTTTACATAGAAGATTATTAAAAATAATTCACCTTTGCTACGTCGGTAAGGCTTCACGTCAGCCTGGACAAGTGCATTCTTGCAGACTACTAAATCAGTCTGACAGCCAATGTCTTGAGTAGATTTAGCCTGAAAAAAAAATAGAAGCACATTGTTGTTGGAGTTTATACAGGCATAGATAATATACAAAAGAAACTGTCAGATATAGGCGATTTATAACATTCCTAGTGTGTGATCGTTATTATAACGTAAAAGTCAGTCACATATGATGTGGAGAGCCTGAAATGCGACCTCCTGAACAGAATTACGTACAGAACCGGGTCACGCTGTGCTGGATTTCATGCTCTAATGATGTCTGTCAACTAGTGCTGCGTTAGTTAGAGTCACTGTTGCAGAATTACCGACTGACACAAAAACAACCCGAATTTTCTCCGAGCCTGACAGTAATAGTCATGTGGACCATTTCGTCGGCCAGGGCTTCGAGATATGTTCCGATTCACCGCTAATTCTAACCTTACATCCCGTTCCACATTTAGTGAACTTGACAAATTAGCCCGAAGGCAGTGCAGACCTAAGTGAACCACGTCTCTCAAACTTTGCATTTAGGTAGGGAACTGAGCTGCAGTATTTCTGCGGTCAGGTCTCTCTACGAGTCCGAGAGCTCCACGAGTGGTCAGCCCCGTCCGAGAGCTCCACGAGCGGTCACCCCCGTCCGAGAGCTCAACGAGCGGTCAGCCCCGTCCGAGAGCTCAACGAGCGGTCAGCCCCGTCCAAGAGCTCCACGAGCGGTCATCCCCGTCCGAGAGCTCAACGAGCGGTCAGCCCCGTCCGAGAGCTCAACGAGCGGTCAGCCCCGTCCAAGAGCTCCACGAGCGGTCAGCCCCGTCCAAGAGCTCCACGAGCGGTCAGCCCCGTCCGAGAGCTCCACGAGCGGTCAGCCCCGTCCGAGAGCTCCACGAGCGGTCAGCCCCGTCCGAGAGCTCCACGAGCGGTCAGCCCCGTCCGAGAGCTCAACGAGCGGTCAGCCCCGTCCAAGAGCTCCACGAGCGGTCAGCCCCGTCCGAGAGCTCCACGAGCGGTCAGCCCCGTCCGAGAGCTCCACGAGCGGTCAGCCCCGTCCGAGAGCTCCACGAGCGGTCAGCCCCGTCCAAGAGCTCCACGAGCGGTCAGCCCCGTCCGAGAGCTCCACGAGCGGTCAGCCCCGTCCGAGAGCTCCACGAGCGGTCAGCCCGCGCAGCAGCTAGTAGGCGCCGCATCAGTCAGACATGCACCGGGCTGACCGCCGGGGAGAACCGGGTGGAAGAATGGAACACAGAAGTGTCCCTCCAAGAGCTCCGTCATATTTCAACCCATTTTTATGTTAAATGCACTGGGTTTTATCCTTGTACCCATCGACATATGCCCTATTAATTATTTTACCGTATTTTATGTCTAAATTTCATGGTTAAACAGTACATGCTACATGTTAAAATGGTAGTTAGCTAGCTACTTCGATAAACTCAGCTAGTTTAAAGGCGGCATTGACCTAAAATACATAAATATAATTTTACTTACTGAAAAAAATGAAGTGGAGACGCCTTGGACGCTCTATTAGTGCAATTAATGCCACAGCAAGTCAATTTGTCCAACAATTGCACAAATAATATCCAAAACAGAATACACAAACACAGAGACTCAAAATCCCAAAACAGTTTCCAAGCCAGACCGAGGCTCTACTGAGGCCTTTCCACGGAGCTAGCTCTGTGGTCACGTGGGTCTGATGCTCATTAATGATACAGAATTTTAGGCTTTTAATACACTTAAACAGAAGAGTGAGAAAAAAATTTCACCCCCCTCAGAGTTGTCATGAGTGTAAACTAGATCATTTAAACCAAAAACATGTTCTGGTACCAGGCTGTAAACATGTTTATTTCTGCTGTGAAATGGGCATTTTTAACATGGAAGTCAATGAGGATTTGCTCGCTTCTGACACCAGCCCCCAGTGGATGAGGGTGGAACTGCCATTTTTGGTACTTCCGGGTTTGACTCAATTTTAGAGCTCCGTTGTGGGGGCTTGGTCTGAATGTGCTAATGAACACTTTTTCTGTATGTGTTAAATTTTGTCTAAGATAAAACTGTGTTTTTAATGATTTTATCTATTTAAAAATACTTTTAATGAAAATAATGAACACAATTTAAATGTTTTTTGTGTGTAAATTTGTGTGCAATATAAAACTGTGTTTTTA